ATACACAATCAAGAATTGCATATCTTGCATATATTTGTGCATCATCATAATTTGCATCGTTGTTTCCCAGTTTAAACAAATATCGAGTGCAATGCAAAGCCTACGCCAGGCCGAGGCTCCTTAACTAATTGCATTAATGAGATACCTAAATTAATATCGCTTCTGTTTGTTTACGCACCAATGGGTTGTACGCCTCCGAACCTCCTGCTCGCCCAAGTGCAAACTTATTTAGACTTAGTGATATATATATAGGCCTTTAAAGTAGAGAGTTATGACAAGTCGCGGCGCCAGGTTGAAATAGATAAATTGGGGGGATAAAGAAATGTTTTGCGCTGTAAGACTGAAGCGAAATATCACATGAGACTGAAACCCCCCTTGCACCTCCTCTAGCGCCGACAATGAATATGACGTCATATTTCGTACTATTTGTCTTTCCCAAATTTCCCCCGCTATTTTGGGTGGAAAACTAGCCGTTAGTTAGAGCAATCAAAGATTGAACGCAACTTATATTGTAGCACTGCGACTCACGTACCAGAAAACGTGGTCGAATCGACAGTTCACTACAAGGTGATTTGAATAGTAGGGTTATTAGTTGTCTAAAAAATTTTTACCGCGGCTATGCGCTTTAAAATTGTGAAATAAAGCGCTAAATTGTAGAAATTTATTGCTGAATTCACGCCTTCTTTGAATAAATTCACACGATATTTTGTTGCTTTTTGCTTTCACAGGAATTACAAAGAAATTCTTAAGAATTTTTAGCATAATTTTATTGAAAAGCAATTGTTACTGCTAAGAGCCGGCAGCTGCCTCATGATTTCTGACATGACCAGAAATTAAATACAACATGGCGCGGGTCATAAAAAGCGCATATTTAATTAGTCTTGTTCGCACAGTCAAAACGCGAGAAATATATTAGAAAGACACGACTTACCACCTGTCCATCCGCCTTCAATATTCTCTTGCCAAATTGGTATAATGTTTTCCACTAATCTCGGTTGATAGGAGAGTGTTCAAACAATACCAAGGAGGCAAAATAAGCCCTATTTTGAATCGGCAAACCGTAGGACAACAAACAGTGATATCTGCCATATTTATTTACATCTTGCGAGCTGCATGACATTTTCAGGCTTATAATATTGCCATATTACAACCGTATTCATGCTGGCATGTCTTGTCATTTGTCACAACACAAGATCAACCCAAGTTTGAGTGTCTAAGCACTACTGTATGTTGGGATAATATCACAATAAACACTCGTTGTTCCCCGGTCGGCTGTACCATTTTCTCTCGAAGCAATAACAAGGCTAATTTGAATTTAATCATATTCACAATTTCAAATTTTTCGTATTTAGCATTTTATAAGTTGCATTAAATCCCCACGGCCTAAAATTTGTGAACACGGCATTCAAATTTTAAAAATGAGTGATTTCATTAGTTTTCGGTTTTTTTAAGAAACACTGTAGATTACATACATGCAATTTGTCCTGAATCCTAACACGTAACACGAAGAGATCCCGCATCTGGTTTTCTAAATTCTAACCATGACATTTAATATTTTACAAGCACGCACAACTTCCATATTCTGACATAGGTCTCTTTTAATTTTTAATTACGGTGTATTAGCTTGTTTTCAATTAATGCATGCAGCCTGAAGAAAACCGTGAACAAACACAGGATAAATACGTTCTTTGCGGTGTTCATATTTGAAGTTTGGATTAAAAAATTGGTAGTTTTTTACACAAATATTCTTTGTGTGTGTCTTTTTTTTTAACGTTTTGTTGTAACCATATTTGGATAAAAATAGATATTTTGGCTTTAACCAACTTAAATTTTTCCACAAAAGCTTTTTAAAACACTTGTCTATTGCTGACAGCCTGTGGAGTCCAAGCTTAACTTCCTCAAATTGCAACTGTTACAGACATCGGCGTACAGACGCGAGTTAATGAATTGTGTTTAATGAATAGGGAATTTTTCCCAATTTTTAAATCCCAAAGCTTCCTAGAGACTTTAAGCTCGAACAAAACTCATTATCTTAAATGAATTTCTTTGTCTCCGGCCACGAACAATAGCTACGCCGACAACTGTCTGTGACATATAAGAACCAGGCTTAAAACAAGAATGCAATTAAACTTTTGAAATACACATATATTTATGTTTTAAGGTACTATACATGTTTTAAACGAAAACTTAAACTAACTGCAATGGTGATTTAACCTTGAAATCAACAGTTACAATGCGACGCTAAATCAAACTGGCCTGGGCCAGGTCTTGGACAAGTCTAGGTAATATGTGCCACATTCACGATATCGAATACCCAACATAATTGACAAAATACATGGAACACGACCCAATAATTATAAAACACGCCGAAAAGTGTTAATACTAGTATGGATCATAATATTAAGTTGAAAATAGATCAGGACTAGGTAAAACCCATTCACATTACAAAAATCGTGGTCCAGATCAGCTCCAGACCTGGTTAATGAATAGTTCGGAAGACCTGACCAAAGTGCGTTTAAACGACGACCTCAGCTCTTGCAAGTGTCAATTAAAATACGGTTAACAGTCACCAGTAATCGCCTCAATAAAATACTAACATGCCACCCAAATTAGCGGGCTACGATTCGTGAACATTGCAAGAGCCCAATACCCTATAAATACGCAGAGTATTTTCTATAATACGCAGAGAGAGATACGCAAGTCTATTTTCTGACAGCGACAGCTAACTGGATGTTGATAGTTGAAAAACAACAGCACTTCCCATATGGAAGTAAATTATATGAAAACATTCGGACAAAATTAGTTAATACCTGACGAAGAAGTGACAGTCAATTTAGTCTAACTGAAAACGTACTAAAAGGCAACCTAATTATCACATTTAGGCAAGAAAAGATCAGTGAGTTGCAGAGCAAATCCTGCCTATCACCAGCTAGTCTACTGCGACACTACAACATACATAGCACAAAGGCAAGGTTAAATTGATGGAATTTACATTGCTCGGTTACCGTTAAGGGCAACGTTCTCCAAAGGTGACAACGATCCCTCCTTTGCAACATTTCTTGTTATTAGGATTGTAGTATTCTGCACCACAGCATTTGAAGTCAGATTTCTTCCTGTGAACTTCACCACAACAGCAAACATGAGTGATTTGATTATAATCCTTGCGACCACAATCCTTTCCTGAAAGGTAACAATATAATGGTGTGATAAAGTGCATCGAGGTTAACTTGCTGAAGACTTCATGGAATGAGATGCTGGAAAAGTCGAATTAAGCTATTAAATAAGTCAAACTTAGATTCTGTTTCGGTTTTCTCTGAAGCTAACACTTCCTAGATTCCCAGACAATGTAATAAGCATTTACCTGTAACATCAATTTTCACATGACATAGTATATCAGTAATATATAAACTGGCATTGCGCGTATACTTGTACATCAGAGTGTGTTCACCAACACAGAACCATCCCGAGGTATTCTGTGGGTTATCTGGGCTTGCTGTGGTCTGGCAAGTGGGGACAGGTTTCGACCAACTCACCAACACCTTTGTCTCACCCGTTAGTACTTCTGCTCTCACTATTTGGGTCCCAGGACATATGCATACTGCAATAAAATATTACCTCATTAGGTGCAGTGATAACCAGTAATGTGTGCAGTGATAACCAATTTGTGTAGAGATAAAAGTAGAATGCGCAGTGATAAAATGAGAATGATCAAATGTATGCAGTGATAAATGGTATTTTCAGACCTCATGCACTCTGCTGAGATGGGTTAATCAGTAATTGTCACCCAAAATGCTGGAAATCAAGGCCTAGGGACTCAAAAATATAAAAAATCTTCCGCGAGAGATCCTACATACCCCCTAGAATTACCCGATCTTTTTTTTTCGATTTTTCCCCATCCATTATACTGTCGTGATTATAAAAATTATGCGCATAGATAGAAAATTCTTAAAATTAGCAGTGGCATTAATTATCTGTTATCTGCAAACTGTATCAAATTAAGAAAATAACACTCAGTAAATGCCTTGTAATCTCATGCACACGCATTGTTAAATAATTTGTTTAGCATGGGTAAGTAGCTATAAGGTCTTCCTCCCCCAGCCACATCTGGGAAAACATTACTTTTGTTCAGGGAGTGCATACGTTTTTAGAATTCAACCTTTTTTGAACTGGCTTAAAATAGGTCATGCAGCGTTTCCGAAAAAACTTTTGTCTTATACGTTTTTAATTGCACTCAATATAATGACTGTACTGTTATCGCTATTAAATTACAACAAATTCACCGATAACAGTAAAATAAACTTGTTTTCAACTCAGTTTCTCACAACCTTTTTCTCAACTCGAAGAGCTATACACTAACAACACATTTGTTTAAAGTCACACAGTTTACCGGAAGTAAAATTGTTTCGAATTAGTGTAGGGGCATAGCATTTCTATCATACATTCTAACTCTCAACACTATTTTTCTCTCCTATACGCAGATTCGTCGTAACGAAACTCACTACGTGACGTGAGTTTTTCTAGTAGGTTTCTTCTGTCAACAAAGTATGAGACCTTGCGTCACTGTGTGAGAGCAATTGAAAATATTAAAAAACTGGTGTTATGTTCCCGAATGAAACGATTTAGCGTATTTTCTTTATATAATCGCAAAATAAGATAACTTATTCTTTCCTGTGAGCAAAAAGGCAGAAATTGTAGCTAATACACGCCCAAGTTACAAAATGTTTGATAACGATAGAAATCTAGTAATTGACTCGTACTTTGCGAGATCACTGGCATCAAAGTTCACAATCTTGATAGTAGAGTTACACAGACAATTGCACAGATAAAGTCCGAGTTAACAGACGCTGTTGAACCTCGGGTATAAATGTCGTTAAGTCATCTGCCTAATTCAACCCATTTTCAAAGATTTACTACGTCAAGTTATTCAAAATTGTGTCAGGATCGGAGAAAAAAATCACTTTTAAATAAGAAATAGGAAAAGATTAGCGTCTTCCATGATATTAATTTGCGCAGAGGGCCAACTTAACACGTTCATTTCTGGTATCTTTACCTGTTGAAACACATTCTACTCCAGCATTTTCGTCATGACTGCAATCATGTTCTCCCCATCCCGCATGAGAACAACTTATCAAATTTGGCTCCATTCCTTTGCATTCAACCTCGTTTAACCATACCCGTGCAGAACCATTCCGGACCTCGCTGCCGCGAAGAGCTCTAACGGCACCTTGATAACCAAGTTGACGACAAACAACTTCAGCATCTTTTAAATCCCATCCATCATCACAGATTGTTCCCCATCGTCCATTGAAGAACACTTCAACACGTCCTCTTCCATTTTCACTTAAAGATCCTTGCAACCTCAGCGTTACATTAGCTGAAATATTTAAAATATCTAAATAAAGCTTATCTTGATACTATGAATAGTGAAATTAATAGGAAGGTGAAACTAATATCCCGAAATTTTCTGATTTCGTTTCTCAGGCCCGCAGGTTTCTATTGCTTTTTAATGCATAACTCCAAGTGAAAAATTCAATTTAAGTATTCCATGACACCTACACCGTAGAACACAATTGAAGCTTGACACTTGTATTTTTTATATGTTGTATTTTGGGTTTTACATTTAGACGTTTAAAGGCCTGTTTACATTTGCAATTTTTGCTCCGATTTTATATATGATTTCTTTCTTTTGATACACGTGGACGAGTAACTAGTTACGAATGCTCTGATGTATAAGAATTCTCATTTGAATATCAGTAACTAATTCACTCATTTCATCTATTAAAGGAAGAAAATTGAACATAAAATCGCCGCAAAAATTGCAAGTGTGACGAAACTCGCTACGCGACGTGAATTTTTCCATGACGGTTCTTCTGTTAACAAAGGATGAGACGCCAAAGACGAGCTTGCGACATGCGTGAGAGCAAATAAGAAAGATTAAAAACTGGCATTATGTTCCAAATCAAACGATTTAGCAAATGTTCTATTAGCGCCAAATAAATAGAGATTACTTCATGGTTGGCGAGTGTGTACGATTTTTATGCACGAGTTGTGAAGGATCGCAATACGAACAAGATAGCGCAGCGAACGAGTAAGTTTGCGATCCTTCGCAACGATTGCATAATAAAAATCGTACAAACGAGCCAACCATGAAGTAATTGGTTTATTAAATGTGTATAGAGATCAATTTGACAACGACACGCTTTTAATATACAAAAATACAGCGAGAAACAAAATCGAAACTTTATCCATCAAAACATATTTATTACCGTTCAGTTTCTTTTTAATTTTGTTCAATAGAAGTTAGATATTCTTTCCGAAAGATTTAATTGAGAATGTGCTGAATGTAAAAATATCTTGAATATGAGAATTATGTTTTGAATTTCACTCCTAAATTTCGACGTCATTTTGAAAGAAAATGTAAACAAATTGCCGCCAAAATGACATACGACAATTTTTCACGTGTGAAGAATAACGTACGTCCAATCAAAAGCCGTGTATGGCATTTTTTCACACGTGAAAAACATCGTACGTCCAATCAAATTGCATGAAATTAATTTACACAGTGAAATATGATTTTTATTTCATCATTTTGCTGTGCATAAATCTCTATACACATATAATAAAATAACTTATTCCTTGCTGTAAGCATGCAAGCAGAAATTGTAGCTAATACACGCCCAACCTCATAGAAAATGTTTCATTGCGATAGAAATCATAGTCATTGACTCGTACTTTGCGTGATCACCGGCATTAAAGTTCACAATCCTGATAATAGAGTTACATAGACAATTGCAGAGATAAAGTCCGAGTTATCAGACGCTGTTGAAGCTCAGTTGTAAATGCCATTCGACCTAATTTCAACCCATTTTCAAAGACTTACGAGGTCAAGATTTTAAAAATCGTGTCAGAACACGAGGAAAAAATTACTTTTAAATGCCAAATAGGAAAACATTAACGTTTTTTTCAGATATATGCTCACAGGGCCACCTTAGCGTGTTTATTTTTTTATCTTTACCTGTTGAAAAACATTCTACTCCAGCGTCTTCGTCATGACTGCAAGCATGTTTTCCCCATCCTGAATGAGAACACCTTAACAAATTTTGCTCCATTCCTTTGCATCCAACCTCGTCTAACCATATCCGTCCAGAACCATCAGGAACCTGACCTCCGCGAAGAGCTCTAACAGCATCTTGATAACCAAGTTGACGACAAACAACTCTAGCATCTCTGAAATCCCATCCATCATCACAGATTGTTCCCCATTGTCCATAGAAGAATACTTCAACACGTCCTGTTCCATTTTTACTTAAAGATCCTTGTAACCTCAGCGTTTTATAAGCTGGAATATTTAAAGTGAAGCTTATGCTAATGCTTTGAATAGTCGAGTTCATACTGAAGTGAAACTAATATCACGAAAATTTCTGATTTCGTTTCTCAGGCCCGTAGGTCTCTACGGCTCTTTGATGCATATCTCTAAGTTAAGAATTCAATTTGAGTTCCATTAAACCGTCACTGTTTAACACAATTAAAGCTCGACACTTGTTTACTTTGCACGCTTGTATTTCGGGGTTTAGGTTAAGGCGTTTAAAGGCCAATTTACACAGGCAATTTTATATGCGATTTTGCTCTTTCGATAGATGTGAACGAGTAACTAGTTACGAATTCTCTGATGTATAAGAACTCTTATTTGAATTTCAGTAAGTAGTTCACTCATTTGTATCTATCAAAGGAAGAAAATAGCACATAAAACGGCAGCAAAAATTCAAAGTGTAAGTGGGGTTTCAAAAAAAGGTTTTGTTTGATATGTTTTAATTGTATTCCACATAATAAATTTATTTTTTCCTTTCCATAAGAGCACATTAGTAGTAACGGAACCCACTACACGACTTGAATTTTTCCAGTAGGGTTTTTCTGTTAACAAAAGATGAGACGCCAAAGGTGAGTTTGCGACATCCGTGAGACGAAAAAAATTGCGTACTTTAAGTGATTAACGGCATTAAAGTTCAAAAGCCTGATAATACAATTACACAGACAATTGCACAGATAAAGTCCAAGTTAACGGACGCTGTTAGCTATTTGCTCATAGAGCCAACTTAAAATGTTTATTTTTTGTATCTTTACCTGTTGAAACACATTCTACTCCAGCGTCTTGGTCATGACTGCAATAATTTTCTCCCCATCCTCTATGTGAACAACTCATCAAATTTTGCTCCATTCCTTTGCATTCAACCTCGTCTAACCATATCCGTCCAGAACCATGAGGAACCTCACCTCCGTGAAGAGCTCTAACGGCATCTAGATAACCAAGTTGACGACAAACAACTCTAGCATCTTTGAAATCCCACCCATAATCACAGATTGTTCCCCATTGTCCATTGAAGAACACTTCAACACGTCCTGTTCCATTTTTAATCAAAGATCCTTGTAACCGCAGCAATATATCAGCTGGAATATTCAAAATATTTCTGTAATGCTCGTGTGAGTTATGCTAATGCTTTGAATAGTGGAATAATTAGTAAACTGGTGATTCAGTGAAATTAATATCACGAAAATTTCTCATTTCGTTTCTCAGTCTCATAAGTTTTATTGTCTTTTAATGCATATTTCCTAGTGAGTAATTCAATTCGAGTTCGATTCCGTTATATATATTGACACTGTTCAACACAATTAAACCTTGACACTTTTATATATACTTTGCACGCTTGTATTTCGGGGTTTATCTTAAGGCGTTTAAAGTCCCGTTTACACTTGCGATTTTTGCTGCGATTTTATGTGCGATTTTCCTCTATTGATAGATGTGAACGAGTAACTAGTTACGAATTCTGCGATGTATAAGAACTCTTATTTGAATATCAGTAACTAATTCACTCATTTGTATCTATCAAAGGAAGAAACTCGAACATAAAATCGCAGGAAAAATTGCAAATGTAAACGGGCCTTAAGGTTTATAGAATTAAACATTTTTTGAACTCGCTGTATATAGACCTTTCGCGGTTTCTGAAAAAGGTTTTTTCATATGTTTTTAATTGTATTCGACATAATAATTGTATTTTTCCTTTCTAAGAGAATATTCGTGGTAATGAAACTCACTAAGCGACATAAAATTTTCCAGTAGGGTTCTTCTGTTAACAAAAGATGAGACGCCAAAAGCGAGCTTGCGACATTGCATGACAGCAAATAAGAAACATTAAAAACTGGTATTATGTTCGCAAAGAAACGATTTAGCAAATTTTCTATTCGCAACAAATAAGAAGACTGATTCTTTCCTGTAAGCAAGCAGTAACTGTAGCTATTATACGCCCAACTTCATACAAAATGTTTGATTACGATAGAAATCATGTAGTCTTTGAATCGAATTTTGCGTGGTTAATTACTTAACGGCATTTAAGTTCACAATCCTGATATCAGAGCTAAACAGGCGATTGCACAGATAACGTCCGAGTTAACGGTCACTCTTAGATATACGCTCAAAGAATCTGCTTAGCGTGTTTATTTTTTGTGTCTTTACCTGTTGAAACACATTCTACTCCAGCGTCTTGGTCATGACTGCAATAATTTTGTTCCCATCCACTATGAGAACAACTTAACAAATTTTGCTCCATTCCTTTGCATTCAACCTCGTTTAACCATATCCGTCCAGAACCATGAGGAACCTGACCTCCGTAAAGTGCTCTAACGGCAAATTGATAACCAAGCTGACGACACACAACTCTAGCATCTTTGAAATCCCATCCATCATCACAGATTGTTCCCCATTGTCCATTGAAGAACACTTCAACACGTCCTGTTCCATATTGACTTAAAGATCCTTGTAACCGTAGCGTTATATCGGCTGGAATATTTAAAATATCTAAGTAAAGCTTGTGTGAGTTATGCTGATGGTTTGAATTGTGGGATAAATAGTAAGATGATTCAGTGAAACTTATATGACGAAAATTTCTCATTTCGTCTCTCAGGCCCTTAGATTTCTATTATCTTTTATTCCATACCTCCAAGTGAAAAATTTAATTCGAGTTCGATTCCGTTATATACTGACATTGTTCAACACAATTAAACCTTTACACTTTTATATTTTGCACGCTTGTATTTCGGGGTTTGGGTTAAGGCGTTTAAAGGCCCGTTTACACTTGCGATTTTTGCTGCGATTTTATGTGCGATTTTGCTCTCTCGATAGATGTAAACGAGTAACTAGTTACGAATTCTCCGATGTATAAGAACTCTTATTTGAATATCAGTAACTAATTCACTCATTTGAATACAAGAAAGGAAGAAAATAGCACATAAAATGGCAGCAAAAATTGCAAGTGTAAATGGGCCTTAAGGTTTATAGAATTAAACATTTTTGAACTCGCTGTATATAGACCATGCGAGATTTCCGAGAAAGGTTTTGTTTCATATGTTTTTAATTGCATTCGACATAATAACTGTATTTTTCCTTCCTAAAAACAGATTCGTGGTAACGAAACTCACTAAAAAACATAAATTTTTCCAGTAGGGTTCTTCTGTTTACAAAAGATGAGACGCCAAAAGTGAGTTTGCGACATCCGTAAGAGAAAAAAAATATAAAAATATTATATTCCCAATGAAACGATTTGGAAAATTTTCTACGATCGCAAAAATTAGGTATGAATGTCGTTAAGTCGTCCGCCTGATTCCACCTATTTTCTAGGATTTATTATGTTAGTTTTTAAAAAGTTTTTGTCAGAAAGGCAGGAAAAATCACTTTTAAATGAGAAATAGGAAAACATTTGCTTATATCAGATATATGCTCATAGATCCACCTTAACATGTTTATTTTTTGTATCTTTACCTGTTGAAACACATTCTACTCCAGCGTCTTGGCCATGACTGCAATCATGTTCCCCCCATCCTCTATGAGAACAACTTTTCAAATTTTGCTCCATTCCTGTACATTCAACCTCGTCTAACCATATCCGTCCAGAACCATGAGGAACCTGATCTCCCTGAAGAGCTCTAACAGCATCTTGATAACCGAGTTGACGACAAACAACTCTAGCATCTTTGAAATCCCATCCATAATCACAGATTGTTCCCAATTGTCCATTGACAAACACTTCAACACGTCCTGTTCCATTTTTACTTAAAGATCCTTGTAACCTCAGCGTTACATCAGCTGGAATATTTAAAGGTTAAGCTTATGTTGATGCCTTGAAAAGTTTCTCAGGCACGCAGGTCTCTTTTTTTAATGCATAAACCGACCGACTAACTGACTGACTCGTTTGAAATTTCGCTACACATTGCAATGAGACGCACTAAAAATGAGACGCCAAAGGCGAGCTTGCGACATTGCGTGATGGCAAATAAGAAAGATTAAAAACTCCTATTAAGGCTATTATGTTTGCAATGAGACAATTTAGCAAATTTTTTATTAGCGCCAAGTAAGGTAACATATTCTTTCCTGTAAGCAAGCAGAAATTGTAGCGAATACACGCCCAAGTTCATACGAAATGTTTGATTACGATAGAAATCAAACGCCTGTATTTCAAAAGCTTACTCACACTCACTCTCATTCAGTGTGACATACAAATTTTACTTTACTGGTCCATGAAAAAGTTTTTTCTTAACCGTTGGAAAAATTCAAGGTTAAACACTGAGAATGAACCTTTTATTCGAATGGAAATACCTCTACTCATAAGTTTGAGCGTGAGTGAGCTTTTAGAACACAAGCGATAGTCATTGACTCGTACCTTGCGTGATAACTGGCATTAAAGTTCACAATCCTGATAATAGAGTTACACAGACAATTGCACAGACTAAATCCGAGTTAACAGACGCTGTTGAACCTCAGGTATAAATGTTGTTAAGTCGTTCACCTAATTCAACCTTTTTTCAAAGATATTCTAGGTCAAGTTTTTAAAAATTGTGACAGAACTGCAGGAAAAATCACTTTTAAATGAGAAATCCGAAAACATTTGCGTTTTTTAGACTATCTTATCTCCGTTATTTTATCTTTACCTGCTGGAAAACATTCTACTCCAGCGTCTTCATAATGACTGCAATCATGTTCTCCCAATTCCCTATGAGAACAACTTGTCAAATTTTGTTCCATTCCTGTGCATTTAACCTCGTCTAACCATATCTGTCCAGAACCATGAGGAACCTGACCTCCGTAAAGAGCTCTAACAGCATCTTGATAACCAAGTTGACGACAAATAACTCTAGCATCTTTGAAATCCCATCCATCATCACAGATTGTTCCCCATTGTCCATTGAAAAACACTTCAACACGTCCTGTCCCATTTTTACTGAAAGATCCTTGTAACCTCAGCGTTTTATAGGCTGGAATATTTAAAGTGAAGCTTATGCTAATGCTTTGAATAGTGGAATTATTTGTAAAGTGAAACTAATATCACAAAAATTTCTGATTGTGTTTCTCAGGTCTCCATTTTCTTAATGAATAAACTGACGGACCGACCGAGCGACCGACCTATTAGCGCCAAATAAGATAACTCATTTTTTCCTGTAAGCAAGCAGAAATTGTAGCTAATACACGCCCAAGTTCATACAAAATGTTTGATCACGATAGAAATCAAAGTCATTGACACAGTTACCCAGACAATAGACCTTTCTTATAATGACGCGGAAAGTCTGATGTTACATAGAATTTAATTGCCTCTACAAAACTATCGAGACAATCAAACTTCGTGTAACACCAGACTTTCCGCGTTTGATGTCATTACGAAATAGGTATATTGCACAGATAAAGTCCGAGTTAACGAACGATCTTAGATATACGCTCATTGAACCACCCTAACAACATGTGGTTATTTTTTTGACTTTACCTTTTGAAAGACATTCTACTCCAGCGTCTTCGGAATGACTGCAATCATGTTCTCCCCATCCTCTATGAGAACAACTTATCAAACTTTGCTCCATTCCTTTGCATTCAACCTCGTCTAACCATATCCGTCCAGAACCATCAGGAACCTGACCTCCGTGAAGATCTCTAACAGCATCGTTATAACCAAGTTGACGACAAACAACTCTAGCATCTTTGAAATCCCATCCATCATCACAGATTGTTCCCCATTGTCCACTGAAGTACACTTCAACACGTCCTGTTCCATTTTTACTGAAAGATCCTTGTAACCTCATTTTGTTTGATATCTTTTTATTTGCATTCGACATAATAACAGTCTTCTTCCCTTTTAAGAGCAGATTCGTGGTAACGAAACCAACTACGCGACGTGAATTTTTCCAGTAGGGTTCTTCTGTTAACAAAAGATGAGACGCCAAATGTGAGCTTGAGGCATTGCGTGACAGCAAATAAGAAAGAATAAAAACTGGTATTATGTTCCCAATGAAACGATTTTGCAAATTTCTATTAGCGCCAAATAAGATAACTTATTCTTTCCTGTAAACAAGCAGAAGTTGCATGTGGCTAATACACGCCCAAGTTAGGGGCTGATTACATGGTGTCTTTTTTTCAGCCCGGGCTGAGTTTGTAAACCAGCCTGGCTGGTAGTAGACATAATAATTTATTTCGATTCTTTGTGCGCTTTAAAATCCCGAATGACAATAACTTGACCTTTAAGGGACTATGACTGCACATAAAAGTGAAATAAACAAACGAAAAAGCATTGTCAAGGCGAATTTTTCTGTCCGGGTTTAAGTTTATTTATGATTACATGACAACAACAGTAAGTTTAGCCCTGTTAAAACACTCCATGTAATCAGCCCCTTAATAAAAAATGTTTTATTACGATAGGAATCATAGTCACTGACTCCTAATCTGTGTGATCACCGGCATTAAAGTTCACAATCCTGATAATAGAGTTGCACAGACAATTGCACAGATAAAGTCCGAGTTAACAGACGCTGTTGAAGCTTAGGTATGAATGCTGTTCGACCTAATCCAAGCTCTACAATAAACGTCTAACTGTTTGAGGATGAAATATTGTGTATAATTCTTTTTACCTTAGATTTATGCGAACATTTTTTTAAAGATTTAACTATAATTTTCATTTTAATTAATAACCATGCAATATGTAAAACCTTAAATAGTCGGTTATGTCTTCGCAAAACCGAGCAAAAACGACATACTGTACCAAGGTCATATAGTCATAAATATATTCGTACAGCAAACACGAAATAAACCTCGAAATAAACAAAGTAGACATCTACCATTTCAAGGATTATACTGAAACTACGAGTTGTTCCTTTTCACCGCTATAACTCTTCCAGTTCTGATGATATTTTAAACTCTTCCCATTCCACATTTTATATTGTGTTTTCGAAATATTTTTTAAAAAAAATAGTTTGCAAAATTATAGTTAAATCATAGGAATCCCAATAAATATTTTTGAAATGATAAGAAAATAGTCCAGTTACGTTGCGAGTGCAGTGACGTCAGTGATCGCGAAGCATAAGATATAGTTATTGAGAAGGATGGAAACTCTTGTAATAATATAAACATACATAAGAATTTCATTTGCAAAATTTCATATCAAAACAACGAAAATCCCTCAAATAAATTATCTGAAATACATTTTAGATACTCCAACAACATTATTCCATTAAAATTATTTTAAAAAACAAATCAAAATGCACAAAAAATGTACAAAACTTTTGCCTATTTGCCGGTTTGAGCAACGGATCTATTTGTCAAGAAAATAAACAAACGACGTGTGCTTGTTAAGCATCCGGGGGGTATAGTTTAAGTTTAAGGCAAGTTGAAAAACCGGTTTAACCTTTGCAGTCTTCTTAAAGTTTCAGCCCATTTGCGTTTAAAATGTTCGCATAAAAATGGTATTTAAAAATTTTCAACAGGTATTTATACAAACCTTAAATTTTTTGTGTCTTCACGTTTTTTTCCAACTTGCCTTAAACTTTAACGTTACCCCCGGATGCTTGACAAGCACACGTCGTTTGTCAAGCACACTCGTCACATATTCTATCATTCGCAATCACTGACGTCACTGAACTCAGAACGTAACTGGACTATTTACTTAATATTTCAAAAATATTCATTGGGATTCCTATGGTTAAATTGCTGACGTTTTTCACTGAAACACAAACGTTTCGTCTTAGCCAATAAGCAAGTTGCTAATTACCAGTCTTCACACGTTCAAATTTTGCGCATGCGCACAAGTACGATGATTATTGAAAGTCCATGGAGGCTTTGCTCGCCACCAAAAAGCGTACAAAAAAAGATGGTGGATTTTCAGCTTTGCTGACGCCACATGGTCCCCTTTGCCCATGGTAATTACCACTGACATACTACGATACCACACTGTGGGGATACAAAGTCAAAAACGGGTCCATCACCCTCTCGATTTTTATGAAAATATTTTCGGTATTGTTTTCGGCATATATTTTCTACGCATTTGATATAAAAAGTCTCTTTTTCCCTGTTCAACAAGTTAAATGGAGAAGTGGTTTTTTGCTCTACATATGATGCTGTGAATGACTTAATTCAGCTATCGGGATATTAATTTTTACCTCAGGTAAGCCGGTTTTCACAACATTTTCATTTTTCGCTTTTGATATAGACAACTACCAAAGCGTCTGTTCTAGTAATACCTTTGAAATTAATGTTAAAAACGGCAAATATGCTTCAGCCTTTTTGATCAATGGTACATGACTTAGACTCTTAGTTTAATACGCTATAAAAACTATATTTTATGAAAAAGGATCAATAACTGATCTTTTGAGTTATGGCTATGTTGTTTTTTATTAGAAAACGTCTAATGAATAGAACTCATATGGGATGTGAAATTCGAAAATGTCATGCACTGGAGCTTTTACTCATATTTTATGCCAATGAGTATCTCCAGTCAAACAATTAAGATGTTCAACCTCCCAGTGAATCTAATAGTCTCTCTATTGATCCTTTTAGTCTATTTTAGATGAATTTAAAACATGATTACTGAGTGAGTGATGATACAAAATATTTCACTGTTAGCTTTCAACAGTGGTTTTTAAAAGTCTAGTATGTTATCTTGTTTGCCTTGTCAAATGCAAAGTCAATAATCATAGCTTAATAGACTTCTTGGCATCTTGCACCTTGTTGATCAAGCTACAAGCTTGATTCAAGCTTGTTAATTTGCAATGGTTTTTACTCCCCTTAGGCTCTGCCCTCTGGGTGTACTTTATTGAGTACAGTTAAACTTGGTCTGATCTCTCTTTTTTAGGATGAAGATGTTATGGAATTTGGGGAATGCTTTTTTGCAAATTAGGGGCGGCAGGAACATAATATATTATGGGGGGCTTAGCCCTACTAGCCCCCGCTGTTCCGCCGCCCCTGAACATTAAACTGTTAATTTTACCATGTTGACTTTGTAAGTCATAGATACAATTGTTATTTAAATGGAAAATAAAGTTATACAGAAATGCATTGACTGAGCAGTTTGTTTTCAATTTGCACCAACTTTTATAATTTTCTGGACAGTTTTATCCTACCCACCATTACAAGGAATATTATCATGAGGCTAATCAGGACTTGAAGGTTGATAAATTATAGACTAATGGAGGAATGAATAGGCTCAGTTGCATTTTCATTAATTCATAAGACATGTGTTTGATAGCACAACTACTACTATAATCTTCTTGGTACCATATACAATCAAATTTTTGTTATTTACCATATAGCCTTTGGCCCTTTGCTATTAAGATAATGCTATCTTGAATATCATTCCATATCAAGCAGGGAACAATTTGAATGTGCAATACTTGGGATACAGTAAGATAGGGGTAACTTATAGCTATAATGAGCTAAATGAAAATATCCTATCCGAATATGACTTGAACTACAATTACTAATAAGCCGCCCAGCATCTTGCATGAGGTTTGGCCTTTATGTTCCAAGGAAAACATAACATAACCACATATTTTCTGCCGGTAACCTTTAGTCGGCGATTGATATCCGAAAGATAATCCAAATTTCCGACAAGACTGGAAAAATAGACAAGCATTTCCAAAAATTTTTGCAGAAATGTATGAATAATGAAAATAAATAAAATAACCTGTCAGCTAATCGTATAAAAATCCTTCGTCCACAATTTTTTTTTACGTTTTAATATTTTTTTCTGGCATTGGCAAAACAGCGTCAACGACTTGTATATAACTGAAATAAACGCCTTATTGCAAGCTATTGTAGCACAAAAATAAATCAAAAATACAAAACAACAATGCTTCACAGCCAAAACAAAAATATTGATAGAAAAACAGGGGAGAATACTATTGTTTAGATAAACCAGGGAGAGCAACTGTTGTAGCGGACTCAGATTTGAACCTGGTCAGTGGTAATTACCATGGGCAAAGGGGACCATATATCGTCAGCAAAACTTCTGCGCACTGCGCAGAAGCCGAAGTCCTACATGCTTTTTGCTTCAAAAAGATGGCGGAGGCAAAGTTACTGAAATGGGAGGAGCAAAACCTCCAGGAATTATAATATAGCTCAGTGTCCATGACATAGAATTTGGGCAACTTTGGATTCCGCCATGTTCTGTCACAATACCCGGGTGTAATTAATCTCCCAGCGGAATTAGTATCCTCGCATGGCCCTCCGCACCCGTTCTGGAAAAATACACAAGCCTGATAATAGAGTTAAACAAACAACAATAGACCTTTCTTATAATGACGTCAAACGCGGAAAGTCTGATGTTACACGGAATTTGATTGGCTCCACAAAACTATCCAGCCAATGAAACTTCGTGTAACATCAGACTTTCCGCGTTTGATGAAATAGGTCTATTGCACAGATAAAGTCCGAGTTAACGAACGCTGTTAGATATATGCTCATTGAACCACCTTAACTTGTTTTTTTTGTACCTTTACCTGCTGAACAACATTCTACTCCAGCGTCTTGGAAATGCCTGCAATCATTTTCTCCCCATCCTTTATGAGAACAGCTTATCAAATTTTGCTCCATTCCTTTGCATCCAACCTCGTCTAACCATATCCGTCCAGAACCATGAGGAACCTTCCCTCCGCGAAGAGCTCTAACGGCACCTTGATAACCAAGTTGACGACAAACAACTTCAGCATCTTTGAAATCCCATCCATAATCACAGATTGTTCCCCATTGTCCATTGAAGAACACTTCAACACGTCCTGTTCCATTTTTATTTAAAGATCCTTGTAACCGCAGCTTTATATCAGCTGGAATATTTAAAATATCTAAATAAAGCTTGTGTGAGTTATGCTGATGCTTTAAATAGTGGAATTAGAATAAAGCGTTAACCGTAAAGTGATAACTGAAACTAATATCACGAAAATTACTTAAATTTAATGCGACCGACCAACCGACTGACTTACTGACTCGTTTGAAATTTTGCCACAAATCACAATACTGAAAATGAGACGCCAAAGCCGAGCTTGCGACATTGCGTGACAGCAAATAAGAAAGATTAAAAACTCCTATTAAGGCTATTATGTTCGCAATGAGACAATTTAGCAAATTTTCTATTAGCGCCAAGTAAGGTAACATATTCTTTCCTGTAAGCAAGCAGAAATTGTAGCTAATACACGCCCAAGTTCATACGAAATATTTGATTACGATAAAAATCAAGCGCCTGTGTTCCAAAAGCTTACTCACACTCACACTCACACTCATTAAGTGTGACATGCAAATTTTATTTTTACTGGTCATTGAAAAAGTTTTTTCTTAACCGCTGCAAACATTCAAGGTTAAACACTGAGAATCAAGCTTTTATTCGACTGAAAATGCCTCTATCGAAACCCTATGATAAGATTAAGATTCGCTACTCAATGAGTTTAAGTGAGATTTTACAATACAGGCGATAGTCATTGACTCGTAAGTCCTGATAATAGAGTTACACAGACAATTGCACAGATTAAATCCGAGTTAACAGACGCTGTTGAACCTCTGGTATAAATGTCGTTAAGTCGTCCACCAAATTCAACCCATTTTCAAAGATTTATTAGGACAAGTTTTTGAAAATTGTGTCAGAACTGCCGAAAAAAATCACTTTTAAATGAGAAATCGGAAAACATTAGCGTTTTTCAGATATATGCTCACAGAGCCACCTTGACATGCTTATTTTTTTACCTTTACCTGCTGAAATACATTCTACTCCAGCGTCTTCGGAATGCCTGCAATCATGTTCTCCCCATCCTCTATGAGAACAACTTATCAAATTTTGCTCAAACCCTTTGCATTCAACCTTGTCTAACCATATCCGTCCAGAACCATTAGGAACCTGACCTCCCCAAAGAGCTCTAACAGCATCTTGATAACCAAGTTGCCGACAAACAACTCTAGCATCTTTGAAATCCCATCCATGATCACAGATTGTTCCCCATTGTCCATTGAAGAACACTTCAACACGTCCTGTTCCATTTTTACTTAAAGATCCTTGTAACCTCAACATTATATTAGCTGGAATATATAAAGTGAAGCGTAAGCTGATGCTTTTAATAGTGGAATTAATTGTAAAGTGAAACTAATATCACGAGAGTTTCTGATTTCATTTCTCAGGCCCGTGCGTTCTATTGTTTTTTTAATGCACAAACTGACCGAGCGACCGAGCGAGGAACCTATTAGTGCCAAATAATATAACAAATTTTTTTTCTTGCGGTCCGAATTCATATTTTAGCGTTTCCTGCAATCTGATTGGCTACGCGAGCGGTCCGTATGAGGCCGTACGGACCGCGTGACGTTTAAAAAGCACAGAGCAAACGCTAAAATATGAATTCGGACCGCAAGAAAAAAAATAAATCTATTATTTACCAGTTTAATCGGTCTGTATTTGGGGAATATTTCCCTCGGTCTCAAAAAGTCCCTCGGCTTGCGGCCTTGGGCTGTTTTTGAGACCTTGGGAAATATTTCCCTATGCGGACCTCCAATCTGGTAAAAAACATATATTTATTAGCTGCTGTAAGCAAGCAGAAATTGTAGCTAATACACGCCCAAGTTCATACAAAATGTTTGATCACAATAGAAATCATAGTCATTAACTAGTACTTTGCCTGATTAAGAGCATTAAATTACACATGCCTGATAAAAGAGTTACAAAGACAATAGACCTTTCTTATAATGACGTCAAACGCAGAAAGTCTGATGTTACACGGAATTTAATTGCCTCTACAAAACCATCGAGCCAATCAAACTTCGTGTCACACCAGACTTTCCGCGTTTGACGTCATTATGAAATAGGTCTAATACACAGATAATGTCCGAGTTAACGAACGGTATTAGATATACATCATTAAGCCACCTTAACATGTTATTACTCTTTTTACCTTTACCTGCTGAAATACATTCTACTCCAGCGTCTTCGTAATGACTGCAATCATGTTCTCCCCATCCTCTATGAGAACAACTTATCAAATTTTGCTCAATTCCTTTGCATTCAACCTTGTCTAACCATATCCGTTCAGAACCATGCGGAACCTGACCTCCGTGAAGAGCTCTAACAGCATCTTTATAACCAAGTTGACGACAAACAACTCTAGCATCTTTAAAATCCCATTCATGACCACAGATTGTTCCCCATTGCCCATTGAAGAACACTTCAACACGTCCTGTTCCATTTTTACTTAAAGATCCTTGTAACCTCAACATTATATTAGCTGGAATATATAAAGTGAAGCGTAAGCTGATGCTTTTAATAGTGGAATTAATTGTAAAGTGAAACTAATATCACGAGAGTTTCTGATTTCGTTTCTGAGGCCCGTGCGTTCTATTGTTTTTTTAATGCACAAACTGACCGAGCGACCGAGCGAGGAACCTATTAGTGCCAAATAATATAACTTTTTTTTTTCTTGCGGTCCGAATTCATATTTTAGCGTTTCCTGCAATCTGATTGGCTACGCGAGCGGTCCGTATGAGGCCGTGTGGACCGCGTGACGTTTAAAAGCACAGAGCAAACGCTAAAATATGAATTTGGACCGCAAGAAAAAAAATAAATCTATTATTTACCAGTTTAATTGGTCTGTATTTGGGGAATATTTCCCTCGGTCTCAAAAAGTCCCTCGGCCTGCGGCCTTGGGCTGTTTTTGAGACCTTGGGAAATATTTCCCTAAGCGGACCTCCAATCTGGTAAAAAAACATGCTGTAAGCAAGCAGAAATTGTAGCTAATACACGCCCAAGTTCATACAAAATGTTTGATCACAATAGAAATCATAGTCATTAACTAGTACTTTGCCTGATTAAAAGCATTAAATTACACATGCCTGATAAAAGAGTTACAAAGACAATAGACCTTTCTTATAATGACGTCAAACGCAGAAAGTCTGATGTTACACGGAATTTAATTGCCTCTACAAAACCATCGAGCCAATCAAACTTCGTGTCACACCAGACTTTCCGCGTTTGACGTCATTATGAAATAGGTCTAATACACAGATAATGTCCGAGTTAACGAACGGTATTAGATATACATCATTAAGCCACCTTAACATGTTATTATTTTTTGTATCTTTACCTGTTGAAACACATTCTACTCCAGCGTCTTCGTCATGATTGCAATCATGTTCTCCCCAACCTTTATGAGAACAACTTATCAAATTTTCCTCCATTCCTTTGCATCCAACCTCGTCTAACCATATCCGTCCAGAACCATCTGGAACCTGACCTCCCTGAAGAGCTCTAACAGCATCTTGATAACCAAGTTGACGACAAACAACTCTAGCATCTTTGAAATCCCATCCATCATCACAGATTGTACCCCAATGTCCATTGAAGAACACTTCAACACGTCCTGTTCCCCATTGTCCATTGAGGAACACTTTAACACGACCTGTTCCATTTTTACTTAAAGATCCTTGCAACCTCAGCGTTTTATTCTCTAGAATATTTCAGGTGAGGCTTATGCTGATGCTTTGAATGGAGTTAATAGTAAAGTGAAACTAATATAACGAAAATTTAAGATTTCGGTTCTCAGGACCGTAGGTTTCCACTGTTTTTAATGCACATCTCCAAGTGAAAAATTTAATTCGAACTCTATTATACCGACACTGTTCAACACAATTAAAGCTTGGCATTTGTATACTTTGCACGCTTGTATTTCGGGTTTTAGGTTTAGGCGTTTGAGGTTTATAGAATTCAACCTTTTTTCAACTAGCTATATATCAACCATGCGAAATACAGGTTACCCTATAGCATTCAGTACAAGTTCTAGTTAAGTAATATAAAACGATTAGAAATATTTTAATAGTGAAGAGCATACCTGTGACACCAATTCTTACATGACATTGGATGCCAAATGTTTGATGCTTGTTGCTGTAGGTGTAATTGTAGTACCGCGTGTAATTACCAATAGAAAAAAAAACAATAAGTTTCGGATTGACGGGATGTGGTGTTGCCGGGCATCTAGGTTTAGGTTCTGTCCAACTGACGAAGATCTTGTCCTGGCCCTCTTCAACTTTAGAATTTACTGTTTGTGGGCATGGGCAATCACAAGCTAAATTGCAAAATAAGCTATTTTGAATTTATTCTAGTTGCCTTTTGTTTATTCTATTGCCTTTGCGGACCAAAAAGACAAAAGAAAGTGCAATTAGGATGTCGAAAACCTCGCAAGTATATACGAAATATCAAAGAACAGAAATAATTAGTGTAACCGCTGGCTTAATTACCAGTGAATCGGCGATGGAACAAGACGCTTTTCCGATCTGTAAAAGGATTTTTAGCATTTTAGCTTATATGACCCAAGCAACGTATTCAAGCAACGTATTACTGTTCCTTGTTGTAATATTTAGCTTAAAAATATTCATATTTGTAACTACATTATGTAGTTTTACGCCAAGTTTTGGGGATTAAAATTGCGACTAAATTGTACGAAATTTGCCAGGTCAACAGCGGATTATTCTCCATAAGGTTTGTCAGCGATTAACGAAAATTTCCCGGTCAAGTGCGGCGTGTACTATTCCGAATTTGCTGTCCGAAAGCTACAATTACTTACCGACAACAGTGAAGTTAACAAAACACTTGAATTCTATAGTCTTGTTATTGCGTTTGTACGAGTAGGGATAAGTGATCACGTGCTTGCCCAGCGAGAAATTTGCCGGAGACCTGACGTCAGGTGGATGAACTTGGCCTCTCTCATAGTCAGAGCACGTGACTTCTGGTAATGACCAATGGACCAGCCCTTCGATTTCATTAGGTTTAGCATATGCAATAAACTCATAGTTACCACCATCTCTGCATTCACATCCTCCTTCAAGTAAAAAGTGTTTACTCTAAATTTGCTGAACATGCAGAGTCGCGAAAGAGGGGGCAGCATTTGCACCAAAATTTTTTGATAAATGGAAAGACTACCAACATCTACCACAAGGCAGTAGTGCAACTGAGAACACCAATTGGTGCGTTATCTAGCACCTTAAACTCAGCTTAGTGCTTGTGTTCTTAAGCACAGCAGCTTAGTTATTTAGCTTTGTGCTCCATGGTTATATCCGTTCATGTTTTAGGCGGTATATGGCACCAAATTCTTTAAACAGCAACAATGACTAATGATAAAATCCGTAAATTATTTTATTATTATTTTAAAAACACAAGATCAGTAATATTACAGGTTGTAGATGTGTAGTTATTATTTTTAGGTTACACTTCGAAGAGTTTTTTAATATGTTCCAACATATCACATGACATGGTGCATGCATTTGGTTAAATATTTCAGATTTATTATTTCTTGTATGCTCTTCCATTCATAAGTGAAAACCGGGTCTCGTTTTTTCAATTCAACTAGGGCATGGAAATTGGGAAATGATTGAACTATAATATTTTAAAGAAGTTTTATCTTTGCACGATACAAGTGCACCAGCGTTCGTAGTTTTCCAGTTGATGATAAAATTGCATTTATTGCATTTATTATAATATCAACCAAAAACTCAAGACTATGAGTAAGTATGGTCGAACACAATAGAATGGAGTGGGGTGGAATGGAATAGAAGGGAAGGGAATGGGATGAGATGGGATGAGATGGGATTGGGAGAGGGATGGGATAGAATGGGATGGGGTGGCTTGAAATGAAATAGAATTTAAATGAAATTGTTTATTTTTCACCTTGCCTGCATGATGTGTATTATGACCTTTACCTTTGACACACATACACGTACCAGGTAAAGTGCAGGAAGCATCAACTGTTTCATTCACAACTTTGTCCAACTCGTCCAACTTTAATTCGAATATTCGCTCTGGTGACAACCAGCCATTAATATATAGTTTCAACTTTTTGAACTCATTTCCAACAGCCAGGCGGACAATAGTGACATTTTTCTTGCTAAGTATTGTGGTATATTCATCGACAAGCCTCGTTTGATTTTCTGCAGATTCATGTGCGCTGCTGGTTAAGAACAAAATAACTAGGCGTCTTCTACGTCCGGACGGAAATTTTTAGGACTTGTCCCGTTAAACGGCTATGAAAAAATTGAATAATTACTAGTATAATCGTTTGATTGTCGAAAAATACGTAGTGATTGAGTAAATGAATTATATATATATATTCATTTATATATATATATAGCAAGGAAATTCCCTTTCATTTTGGAATGCTGGTTATATTATGTGAAATGATATCTGATTTTTTTTTCTGAGGTTCTGGCTTCTGATTTGCTAATTTTCTTTTTGAGATCAGCTGGTAACATAAATTACAAATTAATAAAATTAACCAAAGTATTTGCCTTTTGTAATATCATAGACTGGGGTAGTTACATCGGGTAAAACATCTCACTTACATTTTTTACCATACTTTTGGACGCCGTATCGCCGCTCGGATTATTTTCAAAGCCAATTCTATCCAGCCACTGCATCAACAATGTTTTGTTCTTAATTTCGCCAACCTCCAATAATTCTCTAGTTCGGTTGTCGCTTGAGAAGGAAGCAAAACCAAGATGAGTGCCTTGTTCTTCCACGCGCAGCTTTTCACTTTTGATAAATTTCTTTAGAAATTCTTTCACATCATCGATGTACGTAGAGTTAACATAATTCGAAATGTCCCAGAGAACAAGGATATCTTTTTTACAGTCTAGAACGAAAAAGAATACAGAAATAATAGAAAGCATACATAATAATAAAAATAGACAAACTTTAAAGGTATATAGATTACAGTCGGTAATGTGCATATTGCATCATTATATCTTTCAAAATATCCCGTACTGTCAGAATATTATTGTCAGAATATTATCAGAATATTACTTTAGTTCACTATATTCATAAATGAGTAAAAGATAGTTTATGCTCAAATAATTTAAGTGAAAAACATCCAAAATTTGAGCAATTTCTAAACGATGGAGCCCCCAAACACAACCGAAGAATTGCAGAAGCCGCTGTAGACTGTCGTTGAAGTTCTTTCAAAGCGAAAATTTGTCAACATGGGCTTTGGCATCATACTTGTTCTCGTCTTGGTAAAAATTACCGCATACTGATATTTTTATGATAATTATTGATATGATTATGATATTTTTATCTTCTTGATAAGTATTGTGCGTAAAGTTTTTAGTCTTTTTTTCACGATTTAAAAGCGACGAAAAACGGAAAGAAGAATTTACACAAAATACTTTTTCAATTATTACAAGCCGCCCATGAAAGAAACAGATATCATGCAGGAAGCGATAAGTATAGTACCGTATTCCAGGCTTACGCGTATTCCAGGAAGCTGGCCGAAAGCGTATAGCGTCTATGTAAACGTCTGTAAAATGATATATCGCATATGACTAGTAATCAGAAGTTATCTTCAAAAAAGAGAAAACTTCAAAAGTGCGCAATGCGAACTAAACTACGAACTTGTGAAAGATTTATTGTTTTGTGTTGGTTGCACCTGCAAACGTTTCAAAAAGACTGGCGAATCAGATGATATTGAACTTGATAGCTGGTAATGTATAACATTAATAAATACATTTACAATAGTGATAATGATCTTTGCAGTTTACCTCTTATATTTCCATTTCTCTTAGCTATTTCTTCTTTTCCTAAACATGGAATATAAAACTTGTTAATCGTATCATATTATGATCTAACAATTTTATCACATAGGTAGAAAGAGCGTCACAATATTAATAATATGGTTTTGATGTTTCGTTGAGAAATGTTGTAAGCTAAATAAAATTAGGCGTGAGAAGTTTGATTTGATTAAAAGTACGCCGCAGGCAACGTTGATGCTGTTTTTGAGAAACTGAAAGGTATTAATTTTGGACCAATAATAAAAAAGTATGTAAATTTTCTAAATTTCCAGGTCTATACCTTTAACAATTCTAAAGCGTCGTGTAATTTGGGTCCGTCAAGTATAATTTCTGAGCAAAAGACAAATTATGGAATAACAAATTGAATTAATAGAATGCTTAATTTCCCTCTTCTCGACAATTTCCCTCTTTGGACAAGGTACCAGTGCTCCCTCCTTTTTTTTGGCGAGCTATGAAAAAAACCGATGCATAGATGCCACGATAATAACAATAAAGATATCCAGATGAATTATCTGTGTCTTGGTTATCTATGCTGTGTCCTGGTCTTTTGCTTTCGCTATTCGTCACCGCCAAAAGTGCTATACGCCTATGATTACACTTACCACTGGAATTGCAAGAACGAACATAGACTAAGATGGCACATGAAACTGTCTTTCCTCCATACAGTATAAAGTTATACTTGATGTTATTTAAACCGGCAGGAAACGGCTGCGGTGATTTTACGTTTGGTTCCACTTTGTAAAGATTAATCTTGAATTTATGCGAGCAAGTTATCATTGGCTTCGCCCATGACACTGGGTCTGACATTTTGCTCCTCGTAATGCGGTCTATTCTTCGCTCTTGAAAATGACAAATGCAATTGCCTCCTAATAAGAGAACATTGAAAGTCTTAGCCGGAACCTGTCGACGAAGTACGCAACATATATTCCATTTTGGAATAGGTATACCATGCCGAACTACTTTAACAAAAGAGAATACCTCTACTGCTAAAATATTTTTCCGCAGCTCAAATTGAAGATTGATTTGATTTCGAGTAATTTTTGAACATACAATCTCACATTTTAAATACTGCCACGATGTAGGGAGAGCACTTGGCACCATCAACAATGGTTTCGACAGCTCGTTGCTGGGTCTTTGTACCTCACACATTCTTTTTTACGAAATACGATTTTAAGAAAATTTCGGTATATCCGCAAAAAACAACTTCGCCAGTAGATCGGTAATTTGGGGGTATTTATGCAATTTACCGTGCCAACTTCTGCTTATTTTGAAACAACTGGATGGTGAAGAACAAGAATATTGAATATCTTCCTCTCCAAAGTTAAAAATTTGGCAGCATTAACCCTGCATGGATTAACTCAAATTTTTACATCAGTTTTTTTAATCGCTCGCTTATGCAGTTGAACATGTTCCCATAAATATTTTGTGGATAAATATATATAGAAGTCTCATTTTGCAAAGTCTTGAAACGAGCAGCAGTGCAGAACCAAAAAAACCAAAGTCGAGGAAAATTTAACCCAGGGTTAGTCCTAACCTAGCTTTGGAGCTCGGTCTGTTTAAAAAGACCTCGGTCCGATATTTCTCGATAAAGACCTCGCCGTGGTTAATAAGAAGTTATTACTGCATGTCATTCGGTTTTACAAAAACATCGCAAACATTTCACTCGCTTCTCACTTACAAAAATCTGCTAATATGCGTAATGGAAAAGCAATCATCCGTCATTAAGCTTCTTTTCGGATGAATAAGCAGCCCAACAATCAGACTGCATGGACATTTATTAACTTTGACATATAATTACTATACGTTTAATCCGCCAATGCCTGCATGCATGACAACGTTATATAGTATACTGAACTTTCGAATCAAAATATAAACAATGATATGGTTCTTAATTACCAACAATAGGACACAACTTTATGTAGTTTTCGTATCTCCCTTCAAGATACTCCGCTGTCCTCTTACAACAATGTGACATATTGATAATATCATCATTTAAACACTCTTTTTCCCATTGCTCTCTGTCATCAACGAATTCAGACCATCCATTTGTACAAAATTTTGACTCATCCTCTCCAAAAACGAGATTTGCAGCAAAGTAAAACAATATAACTGTCTGCAAAACTTCTTTACAGTTGCCGAATATGATTGGCTTTCGTTCGTTTCGTTTATTCCCCATCCTGCGAAGATTTATAGATCTTTCAACTTTTGAAAGTAAGTCCTGCAGTGAAAGGAGCTGGATGTATCGAGGGTAAAGGGAAATCTGCCAGGCAAGACGGAATATATATAATATTATTCATTATATAATATGCAGTGTTTTTTTTGAGGAATCTGTCATTTTCAGTGAAAATCGATAATAAAACATGTGCGATTATTCATGATAATAACACATATGGGTTTATCGTGTTTGATCATTCTCAATACTCGACATAAATTCCATATTTCTGCGCATGACGCATCCATGTATTATATTCTCTATTTATTATATGTATTTTAGCTGAAACACTCGTAGAACTCGTACGCCAGGACATACGGGGTACGGTGCGTATATTTTCCGTATGTCACGTTTAGGAGTGATATAACGAGCTTCAAAATTTTCCAGCCATTTTTTTGGTTGTTGTTGTGAAAATACAAAAGGTCTTTGGTTCGTTTAAAAAACGAAAAAGTAAAAAGACATCTTTAGATAAGTAAAATTTATTCTACTTTTATTTCAATGCTATATATTATTTAGAAAACACTCACATTGATCATCGTCTTTCACGGCTTATTTTCTTGTAGTCTTTGTACGTATTTTTTTCTTAATTTTATCCATATAATAAACAGAATATTGCACGGTCCTCTCGAAGATATGGATTCTATGTTCAAGTGGCAAAAAGGCGCGAGTGCCTTAAAGGTGCGAGTAACAATGCCTACTAGTCAGAGGGGGTGAAACACTGAATGAGATCTATTATGTCTTCCAACTTCTTTTTTCGCCAAATCTATCGGGACAGAATTTGAGCCTACCTCTAAATTGTGGTCGAACTGCTCGGGAACTACCTCTATATTGACGGTGTTCTTTAATCGAATCAGCTGGAAATCAAATGCAACTGGATGTATGTGACATTTTGATAATACATGATAAGAATCTTAATTTCAAGAATTCCAAACTCTAATTGACTGAATTATAGTTACGTTACAAAAGAAATTGATCATGCAGAATATGAATATACAAATATGCCCACTCTCCCAATTGTGGCGCTTTGGTGCCAATCATGTTGCCACTGTAGAAAATTAGAATACGCGAAAAATACATTCAAGTTTGAGGAGAGAGACACATGAAGGACAGGGCACTAGACTAATGGATTGTCTTTGTTAAGTAAATGGAGCTTGTTGAGTACGTAGACACGCACGCAATTGACAATATAATTGTCGGACACGTATTGCATGAACTTCAAGATAAAGAAATAACTAAATACTAAATATATATATATATATATATATATATATATATATATATATATATATATATATATATATATACATTCAGTTTATATTCAGTTTTGCTGTTCGGAGATATTATTATGCAACCTATGCAATTGGGGCAACCTATGCAATTGGGGCAACCTCGCACCCAAGGATTTCGATTGATGATTTTGGATCAAACAAGCTGCAAACATATGCCACTGGATGATATTTTAATAATAAACGTTTTGAAATCCTAGCAATTTTTGTTGATTTCATACACACGCAAAAGCACGTCTACGGCAGATTAGTTGTTCTGTTAATTTGTCATCAGGATGACCCAATGGACTTGTTACGCATGCGCACATAAATTATTAATCTTTTAAGCCTAAATTTGAGAAATAACAAATGCCTAAAATAGACAAAACACTTCTCGACGTTTCGACCTAAGGGCCTTCGTCAGGAGAGTCAGTAGTTAGATTAACTCTCCCGACGAAGGTGCTCAGGTCGATACGTCGAGAAGTGTTTTGTCTATTTTAGGCAGTTGTTATACCACATCTGATGCTAAGTTAAATTTGAGGAACATTCATATTCAGTCACTCTTTTTACATAAATACCTGTGTAGCAATCTTGAAAATAAACTTTGGAAGCTTTAGACTTCAGCAAATGACTATTTTAAATATGCTTAGATCTTCCTGAGTCCAACGAAGAAACACGGTTTTCAAAGAATTGAGACCAAGCTTCCCAGCTGTTCTCTCGTGTCGTCTCCTTAGTTTGATGTGTTAAATGAGTGGTATGACGTTGTGATATTAGATATAAGGCGGGGCTTGGTAGGACGGAACGGGTTCTCCGCTTTTCATTTCCATGCAGGTAGCCTATAAGTAGGGGGGGGCGAATATTGCCATAAAACATTTCACATAAAACAATTGTATCAAAGTCAGCTGTAAATTTATAAGCTTTAGTCGAAGCCATAAGTGGGGTGTACAATGAATGAAACTATGTTCAACAGTGAATGGATCGATCTTTTTCAAATTTTCTTAGTATATAGTAGCGACAATACAGAATAAACATTTCTGTTGGGCGATGAAACATAAAGTTATCCTATCTTTTGACCAATCAAGTCTGACTTTGTAATTTGAACAATTTTGGTTAATCAATTAAACAGGAATTCACTATTCAGGTGTTTCGGGATAGGATTGCAATTCATGAACTCAGCGTGCACATTATGTGAAACAGACGCAATATATATACATAAGATACATGAGGGTTGTTTCCCGTTGTGTCTCCAAGCGATAAATGATTATAATTCTTAAAAGTAAACTAATTGTAATAAAAGTATTTGACAAATTGAAGTTCGAAAACGAAAACGAAAATTTAGTTCGAAACTAGGCCCGCACCAGGCCGAGGCTCAACTTTTAATAGCAATTCAAACAAAGAAGTTTAAAAAACTATCATTCCTTAATTGTATCCAGTAATTGCATTAATGAAATTCCTAAATTCTAGTATCACTTCTGTTTTGTTACGCACTAATGGGTTGTGTACGCGTTTGTATAAGTCATAAACAGTGGCTATGACAAGTTGTGATGCCGGGTTAAAATGAATAGGGAGGTCGACATTTATTGGGGAAAAATATATTGCTGAATTCACGCCACCTTTGAATTTCAGCGAAACTCCAGAGAGCCGGCAGCTGCCTCGTATTTCCTGATATGACCAGATATTAAATACAATATTGCGCAAGTCATAAAAGACGCATATTTAATTAGGCTTCACACAATCTTCACACAGTCAAAACGCGAGAGATATATTAGACACGACTTACCAACTGTCCATCCGTCTTCATCATTCTATAGTCAAATTGTCATAATATTGTCTTCCATGCACTAATCCTAGTTTGCAAGAGAGTGTTCAAACCGCACGACAACAACAAGTAGTTTTGTAATAACATGGTCGCCTCGGTTTCTTTTGTTTTAACAGGGACGTTAAACGACGTGTTTCCCCAAGTGCAGAGATGGCGGATATTTAGTTCTAATGAGGGACGTTCAAAACTGAACCATTAATAATAAACTGAATCAACGAATTCAATTAAACAAAACTTTCAATCGCTTTATTTTCGTTCGCTGAAACAATTCAAGAACAGAACGCGCAAACAAAAAGCTTCATTGAATTCCTTATTCCCTCGCTCATCATCTTGTTACAAAATAAACACATAGCTTTGAACGTCATTAGCGGTTATAAATATTCTAATCACTGAACCATTTCGATAAAGAGATCTCGCTAAACAAAAGCATCTAAACCATTGTTTCTTCCCTCGGCGATAATGTTTTTACAAACTGAACGCATGCTTTGAGGAATATTAGTGATCAAATGTACACTTAAGCCACAGGAGGTTTCGTAAAAGTTTTTACTAAACCCCCTCGATTTTAGGGACATTTAATCATTGATATCCCTCAAAGCATGCGTTTATCTTATAATAACTTCTGTTTAATTATGTGCCTAATTTGAATTTCAAAGGCATCACTTTTTTTAGGGGCTGTTTACATTAGCCCGGTTACCCGATATTCAACGAAGCGTGAGAGGACTTTGAGGTGTTCATATGACACAAAATGTTCTCCCGCGTTTACGAGATCTCGCTTGATAAAAGCGGGAGAATATTTCCCTCACATGACCGTAATTTTCCCGCTTGTCGGGGTGATTTTTTGTCTAGTGTCGGTCATGTTAAAGCTCTTTAACTACATTTTGCGAAGCTAAATCCTAGTTTAGTCAGAAATACACGAGTCTCATTTGCGAATTCTATCTTTAGCTACAATTAAAAGCTAACTAGTCTTTTACACACTGGCGCCTGGTCAACAACTGTCGAATTCTTAATTTGTCGACGACTTCGGCCAACCAGAAATAGTAACGTCATAGCTGAAAACTTTTCCCCTTATGCGGGGAATGCCGGATAAAGTTTCGCCATATGAACAGAAAAAAACATGCAATTTGGTTTGTCGAAAACTTTTGCCAATATGAACAATCCTTAAATCATAAACCGTTTCTCTTTTCCGAACCTCCTCCAGGCCCATGACATGTCCCCATAACTATCATGGAAAAATTAGTGCAAACTTCATATATAGACTTAGTGATATATAGCTAGGCCTGAAGTATATTATGTAGATGTGACAAGTCGTGGCACCAGGTCGAAATAAATTGGGGGGATAATTGGGATCCAAAGAAATGTTTTGCCCAGTAAGACTGAAGCGAACATCACATGAAACATCACCGCCTCATAGTTTCTGACATGACCAGAAATTGAATACAACATAGTTGATCGAGTCATAAAAGACGCATATTTAATTAGTCTTGTTCACGCAGTCAAAATGCGAGAAATAAATTAGAAAGACACGACTTACCACCTGTCCATCCGCATTCAATATTCTCTTGCCCAAGTGGTATAATGTTTTCCACTAATCTCGGTTGATAGGAGAGTGTTCAAATAATTCCAAGGAGGCAAAATAAGCCGTATTTTCAATCAGCAAACCGTACGACAACAAACAGTGATATCTGCCATATTTACTTTCATCTTGCGAGCTGCATGACATTTTCAGGTTTATAATATTGTCACTAACATACAACCGTTTCCATGCTCGCAAGTCTTGTTTGTAAGAACACATGATCAATC